AGAAAGGTAGAGGCAGACCTAAAAAGACTTTGTTAGAAAATATTAGGAATGACAATTCTTTATTAGATTTAAACGAGAATTTTACCTTTAATAGGACATAATGGAGAAAAAAGATTCATGTAGCCGACCCCACGTAGTGGGATAAAAGCTTGATGTTGTTGTACTCATCTCTAAATGACTACCTGGAAGCCAATCATCTTTACATATTACATGAGAAATTGATTTTTTTAATCATTCAATTGGTCGGGTTTTTTATATAATAATTAATTAATAAAATTATCTATTATTATTGTGATGAAAAAAAAAATCAAAATAAAAAAGCTGGTACTGTAAATGAAAAAAAAAATCAAAATAAAGAAAGCTGATAGGAGAACATTTTAGTATTTGCAGAAGGGAGCAAAAAAATACCAAAAACAAAATTTCCCATTTTTTTACTTTTCTAGACACTTTCCACAATATATTATTTTGCGTGGATGCCGAAAGCAGTTTGAAGATCAACCAGAATGTGTCATATCATTCATTCGTTGTATATTGCAGCTCGATATTATTCGATTCCGTGGCTTGATATCACTAATGTGACTGCATTTGATTCGCCTCTAGATGTAAAATTACGTTCAACCTTCACAGAGAATAATTTCTCTTCCACATGACACCTTTTCTCTTGTTTAATGGATGTACTCCCATAGGCCATAGCGGTATCTTGATAATAATTTATTTTTAAACATTTTAAATTTAAATTAAGATAAATAATTAAATATAATATATAACGCCAAAAAACAAGATAAATATACTCTTAAGCAATCCATTTCTCATCATGACCCCCTAATCTGTTTCCTCTCCCAATTCCTCCTCCCGTCAGTCGATCGGCGCCATGGATGCAGAACCTTCCACCACCACAGTCGGATCCAACTCACAACTCCCACGTCGCATAGTAATCTGCGGCGGCGGAGTCATCGGCGTCTGCACCGCCTACTTCCTTGCTTCCAAGGGCTCCGACAGGGTCTCCGTCACGGTCGTGGAGAGATCCTCCATCGCCTGCGCCGCCTCGGGCAAGGCCGGCGGATTCCTCGCCATTGATTGGTGCGACGGCACTCCCGTCGCCGATCTAGCCCGTGCAAGCTTCCTTCTCCACCGATCCCTCTCGGATCTCCTCGATGGCCCCCGCGCCTACGGATACCGAGCACTAAGTGCCCTCTCGCTCCCACTCTCACCATCCGACTCTACCGAGTCACGATCACCGGCCCTACCCTCGTGGATCAACGGATCCGCCGTCTCTCAGTCGCGAACGATCGGAACCCCAGAGACGACAGCACAAGTTCATCCCCAGCTGTTCACGAGGGCAGTGTTATCGTCGGCTACGGAATATGGGGTCGAGGTGGTGTTTGGAGAGGTGCAGAATGTTGAAGTCGAGGGAACCGGTGTTAGGCTTCGAGATGGGAGGATCTTGCCGGCGGACGTGGTGGTGATTGCGCTTGGACCGTGGTCGAGTCGTTTGCAGATAATTTCCGACCTCTTCCATGTTTCTGGCCTCAAGGCGCATAGCATTGTGCTTCGGCCGCCGGAGCCGGCTGTCATTAGCCCCCATGCGCTCTTCCTCAGCTACCAACCGACTCCGGGAGGCAAGATCCTGGACCCGGAGGTCTACCCCAGACCCACAGGTAAGAAACAATAAGGGTAAAATCAGGTGAGAATGAGTTTTACCATCATTATAAATATATTTTTAAGACGGGCATTTAATCAAGCAAAAATCGTATTTTATTTATTTCAAAATTAATTCAATGATCATTATCAAATTTGAGTGGGATAATTGAGCAAATTCTTTATTTTTTTTTTTTAAAAAAAAAACCCTTACTATAGAAAATTACTTTTAGGTTGTTCTGATCATGAAATGTCAAATTAGTAACTAACAACTTTTTAATTTACTGATTTTTGCATAATAACTTAGGCTTTGTTTTGGGGAGAAATTGTTTGGTGCGGACATCGAACGGAGAGAATCGTCCGGATTTGCTACGGTTTTATAAAAGGGCAATAAAAAACTAACAAATATTTAATTATGAATGCGTTTTTACTACATTTTGCAAAAGGGCATAAAAAACACAACAAATATTTAATTGTTTAATAAATATTAAATATTTATTATCCTTTTACTAGCCTTTTTCAAAAGCGCAATAAAAAGACAATAAATCTGGATGATTCTATTTGTCCAATGTCCACACAAAATAATTAGTCTTATTTGTGATGATTTTTTTATTGCTTATTAAATAAGTTTTTTAGTTTAAATTTTTTAATTTTTTATTAAAAAGTTGATTTAAAAAACAATAATAAAATCATCTTGAAAACCGTTTTAAACATCATAATATTGATAAATTATTTGGGGAGTTTGGAGCTTAAAAGCAGCATTAATTATCACTGACATGCAACCAAATAATAGATCTAACAAATTATATTTTGTTTTAAAACATGCAAACAATCAAATTAACTCTTAATAAATAACATTTATCAGTGCTGTCAATTAAAATTCATCAAACAGGAGAAGTATACATATGCGGGCCAACAGAGGAGGCCACTCCGCCTAACAATCCTGAGGATATTGTCGGCGAGCCAGAGTCAATTGCATTGCTGCATCAGATTGCCGGCACGGTGTCGAGCCACCTGAAGGCTAGCGTCGCCGAGACAGTGGCCGAGCAGGCTTGCTTCTTGCCCTCCGCCGATGATAAATTGCCAGTCATTGGGAAGATTCCTGGTTCCAAGAACTGCTATGTGGCCACCGGTCACACCTGCTGGGGTATTCTTAACGCTCCGGCCACCGGAGCGGCCCTTGCAGAGCTTATTTTAGAAGGGCGGTCGACAACGGTGAATCTGGATCCCTTCAGCCCTGAAAGATTTCTCCGCTGAAAGTTTTTCCAGGTAGCTAACTGGAATCTATATAGAGTTTTATTTTAAGAATGGATTTGAATGGAAGGTTGAGTCTCCAGTCTTTCTGCTTCCTGCTTAATGGCCTGCCTTTACCGAGCTCAGCTCTGTTCTCCTTAACATCAGCAAGCTTAAATATGCAGTGCTCAGCCTCAATTGATTCGAGAATAAGAGCTTTATCTGTGTGCTGCTTTTGATTTCTGGGGTCTTGGTTCTCTGTCAGATAGCAGACCCACATTGCCATTTCATGGAAGCGATCTAAATCATGAGGAACTTTTAGTAGTCTTTCAGCTCCTGGAGATGATACCTATGAAGGAACAAGAATTGTAATAAAAAAATAGTCTATGATTTATGCTGGTTGAAATGGCTTGACTTAGCTAAGAACCAAGAAAGAAAATAGGAAGCTTGTGATTGCCTCAAGAGCCATATCAGCAGGTATTTTTCCAGCTTTTCCAGCCTCGTCTAATTTCTTCTTGTAGAGATTGTTGAAGTTTTCGATCTCTTCTATGTCTGGGCACCCAAATCTGACCAGAAGATAGACGATCAGCTAACAAAAGTATCGGGAGAATTCTGATTTGAAACTGTTTTTATTCAATTTGTTTTGAAGTAATATTTAGAAGGCATTACACCTAGAAACCTAGAGAAGTCATTAGGAAGTAGAGAAACTACACAGGGCAGTTAGATAAAGGGGCTATTTGGTATGCGGATTTAGGCCGGATTTAAGGCCAGATTTGAGTGAAATCCAGCCAAACGGCCTAAAATGCAAATCCAAATCTCACGGCAAATGAAATCCGCGGTTGACGGAAAAAGACCACTTTTTGTGGTAAATCCCGGATTTCGCAAATCCATCGATTCGGCGGATTTAACTTCTTATTCGTGCAAGAGGAGGAAGTCTGAACATTTCCAGCTGTTTTTCTTTTTAATTGTCTTAAATCCTGACTTGTATAGCCAAACAGTCACACAGAATTTAATTGGATTTATCATGAATGTTACCAAACAGTTTTCAGGATTAACCCCTCAGGATTTCGCAAATCCGGATTTGGATTTTAAATCAAAATCATTACCAACCTTTAGATAGTTTTAGACAATTTATGTTTATATTACCTTTGCTCTAAGCCCGTTTCCTTCTTTTAATCATCTCACAATATATTTGTATGTCTTACTAACGAGTCTTCAATCATTTATTGTATTTTATTTACCCAAACGAACTATAGTATACCGTTGCCTTTCTTATCCTTCGAAAATAATTTGATTACGAACGAAACCTAATGAAACTCAAGTAATTTGAAAAGAGAAAAGTAGTGATAGGAGGTGCGAGGACATCATAGCAGCTTAAAACCTTCATTCTCATGCGCTGAAGCAAGATTCAAATATACAGTTGGAGCTGTGAGGACATCATAGCAAGCAATGTAAAAACTCCAAGACAAAGGATTAAGAAAGCTTCATTATAAATCAATTACGTTCAGTTTAAGTATCTTGCAAAATAAATAAAAAACCATTCAGTTTTAAACACCTAGAACCCTAAATCATATATAAAAGCTTCAATATAAGAGCTTAGTATTACAGAATAAATACTGGCTCTTACCTGCTCGTAAGCTTATCCAGCCTCACGTAGATGTAACCTTTCGGAGACACCTTGAACGCATAAAGAGCAAAATCATCGCCAAAGCTATGGAGGATCTCACGAGCCAAACACAACGCATGTTCACCCCACTTCAAATCTCCCAACACAATTCCTCCTCCATCCCCTCCATCACCAATCTGAAACAAACCAAATAAAAAACATGTGTTCATAAACCCTAAAAATTGATAAATCATCAATTTCCGCCGCACAGAACTGATCTAACAATTAACCTACCACGGGCTCTCTGTACTCTTCTTCCTCCCATTCGACGCCCCAATCTTCCTCCTCCGTCTCTTCAAGGAATTTACGGAGATAGAAAGTTACTTTCGTCATCATAAGAGAATAGTTTCGTAAATGAAGATTGTAGGAATTTTACCCATTCGTCCACCGCGGGGATCGTGAGAGCTGGAACTATTCCTTGAGATGAAAAATTGATCATGAGAGCGTAGAAATCCGAGTGGATAATGAGGTTTAGAGAGGGCTTTGGCGAATCGGCCGCCGCAGCCGCTGCCGGCGAGGTCAGCCGTGATCAGAAGAGGAGAGCGAGAGGTAAGTGAAGAGAAGGAGAAAGAAAACGAGCCAACATGGAAGCGGCGGCGCCAGCACTCTACCCCCGCTTGAACCGCCGATTTTCTCATGGCCGCCTCTGTAGCCAGTCTTGCCCTCAATTGAGAGCAGATTTTATAAGAGAGAGAGAGATGGCGGCATGAAAAAAATAAAAATAAATATGTATATCTAAATATAAAACACTTACAATTTAATTATTTATAAGATTAATATTTACATTCATTTTAAAAAATTTCATCTAAATATTAAAATTCATAATAAAATATCAACGTATAATTTATATTTTTATCAAATTTTAATAATTTGATCATGTCATACATAAATATAAGAGTGATTTTAATGATTTAAGAACTGATTTAAATATTAATTTTAAATACAAGCATACTACTGAATATGTATATCTAAATATATATCATATTAATTTTATATTTATTTATATAATATTTAAATATTTAAATAATATTTAAAATACCTTTTATATTAATTTAGTTAAAAATGAGATTTATCTTTTTATGTGCATCTTATCATGTTATTTAAATTATCAAGGTATTATATAAAAAATAAAAGAATTAAAATATTAAATGATATGTATGCAAGTCCTGCAAAATAATATCACAATTTAAATATATTTATTCAAGATAAAAAATTAATGTAAATTGTAAAGCATTTTAATCTGATATGTTTTTCTCTCTCGAAAAAGGGTATTAACACCGTGAAATTAAAGGTTTGAAAATCATAATGTTGTTTTAATCTATAAAAAATAGCTATTGAATCTAAAAATATTTTGTTTAACATTAATTTTCAAAAGTTTAGAAAATTTTCAGTTATGAGACATTTTTCAAATTTCTAGTAATATCTAATATTTTTATTTTGATTAGCTTTTTATTTTAATATTTTTGCATATTAGATATAAATTTTAACACGCATTATTTTATTTAAATCAATGAAATTAAAGGTTGAAGTAGCTCCATTGACAAATAAGATTAGAGAGAGTTGCCTTAGATGATTTGGTCATATAAAATGACAGTCTTCCAATGATTTGGTTAGGAGATTAGATGTAATAGATTTAGACTTTGTTTGAGACGGTTTTTTTACTGTTTCTTAAAGCAGCTTTTGAGTACAAAAATTTTAATTTTTGTATTAGAAAGCTGTTTTAAAAACTAGTAAGAAAGTCATCCCAAATGAAGCCTTAACTTATGCTAAGAAAGATAGATGTTCGCCTAAAATGACATAAGCTTCGTTTGTGACTCAATTCTTATTGCTTTCTAAAGCAATTTTTTAATAAAAAATCTTTTATTTTAAATTTTTTTATACTAAAAAATTATTTTAGAAAAAAATGAAAAAGTTGTCCAAAACAAAATTCTAATTAGAAAATAATAGAAATGATCTTTTTTTATTAGATCTAAATGAGAATTTAACTCTTCACTGGACATAATGAAGAAAAAATAATTCTTGTAGTCAATCCCACGTGTGGGATAAATATCTAAATATTTGATATTGTTGTTGTTGTCTAATGAAATTAAAGGTTGACAAAATGATTTTCTGTTCTAATAGTGCTGTTTAACTAATAATTTACATAAAGCTTTTTTTTTTTAAAAAAATTTGGCAGAAAAAATCTGATTGAATATTGTTGCAAAGATTGGATGGGTGATTGTCTTTTCTAAATGTAAAGATTACCAAATATTTATCTCCAGCAATTAATTGTATAGAGGATTGATAGAATTTATGGCCCAGTTATTATAAATTTTAAATTATATGTTTTATAATTTATTGCTCATTATTTAATAAAAAATGTGGTAAATTAAGTATTTATGTGCTTAGCAATCGAACACAATTTGGGGTAAATTAAGTAAATACTTTCAAATGTTCTTTTTGTTTATAGTTTTGTTACTATTCCACCTTAAAATTGACCTGAAAAATCTCTATTAATTGAGTATAATTAAATGCTAGAAAATTTACAACAATAAAATGATCGAGTTTTACATTCTAACTTTGCACGAATTTTCACAAACATAAAAAAAAGAGACATTGTAGTTCTTACGCAAAAACTTGAGAAAAAAATATCATAAAATGAAACTATGCTAAAATAATTTTACGACATATATGTAAATCAATTTAAAAAATTATTGTCCAAAATAGTTTTCATTATGCCATTTTTTCTCTTTTTTGGGTAAGGTTTTGTTTGGAACAACTTTCTTACTACTTTTTAAAATAACTTTTTAGTACAAAAATTAAAATTTTCATTCTAAAAAATGCTTTAAGAAACATCAAGAAAGCCATTCCAAATGAATATTTAAATATAATATTTATGATTCCAAATAAGCTGTAATAATTGCAACATGATCGGCTTCTTTTGGAAATATTTAGGCCAACTAAAGCAAATTCACACACATCACATACGCAAACTGCAAAGTCAAAATCTCTTAATTAATAGTCAAAACTCTCAACTAGGGATGTAAGTGAGCCGAGCCGGCTCGTGAGCCGGCTCGAACTCGACTCGTTAACGAGCTCGCGAGCCGAGCTTATCGAGCTTCGAGCTCGAGCTCGAATGCTTAACGAGCTCGAGTTCAAGCTCAGCCTGACTCGACTCGAAAGCTTATCAAGCTACTCGATATAATTATAGATATAATTATATATATTATATTTATAATATTAATTATATATATAATAATACCCATCACATGCGTTGGTAATTCTCAAACGAGCTCGATCTCGAGCTCGAGCTTTTCAAACGAGCTCGAGCTTTCGAGTCGAGCTTGATATTTTCTAAACGAGTCGAGCTCGAGCCTACTAATCGAGCTTGAGCTCGAGCTCATTAAGGACTAAACGAGCCAGGCTTGATAAGGCAAATACTCGACTCGACTCGACTCGTTTACACCCCTACTCTCAACCAACAGATCAATATGTATTGATCTACATCATGATTGGCACTCTATCGAGTCCTTGATAATTAGAGGCACAACCTAATTTAAAATCTTAAGAACTGCTAGCAACCGTTTTGTTTGGAATAGTTTAAACTTTTCTATTTATTTTTGAAAGCTTCTTTCTTATAACCACAGTTTCAAGAATATTTCTTCAAAAACAAAGACAATTTTTTAAAAAACTGTGAAAATTTTATCTTCAAACACATTATTTTTTTACTAAATATTTTTTTTACTCGGACATTGAATTCTTTTTTTAATCAAAAGTTATAATTCTATTATAGGCAGGCAATTTTGCATATAAATACCTCATTTTTTTGTTACAGGTGGTGATAAGGTCCATTGACTGTCCTGCCATCAAAATATCTGTACATATAATGTTACTGAGAATTCAACGACGAATAGGTTGCCGAAGATAGAAAAAAAATGGAAAAATTGCATTGGGATTCCATGAATTTACCTAAGAAACCTCAGTTGAAGATGACGCAGAACCATCCATTGTGTCTCTTTTTCCTTCATCTTCATTTTTATTTGAAAATCCATTGTTTGTATCCAAGTGACAGTACCTGACTCCATCATCTGCATCTAAAATTTCAGATTGAAGATCTGATTCATTCCAGGTTTGTTCAATCCCTTCAGTGCTAGGAATTTGAAGCAAATCTGGAAGCATGTCTGCTAATCCACTGCTTCCATTTGATTGTACCATGTCAGTAACTCTAACCTGATCATATTTTTGTGAAATTTCAGTTGCGAAGCTCAAAATTATTAACTGGTACAAATTTTTTTTTTGGGAGATTTACATACATACCACTCTATACTATTCTATTTACATATTTAGCACCTAAAACTTTAATATTTAGAAATGAAATACATGAGTGGTATATTTGATATTAAAATAATATAGGGTGATATGTATGTAATATTAAAATTTTGGGTGTTAAATATGTAAATATGATGGTATAAAGTAGCATGAATTGTAAATTTCTTTTTGGTTTACCTGTAATGGTTTCATGGCATCGTACTCCAGGTTTTCGCTTTTGGTGAGTTTATCTTGGGCTTGAAGCTCCATGGAATCTCTTAAAAGCTGACTCAAAAAAGTGACATCATCGGACATTACACCAAGTCCTCTTAAGAGCTTTGAACCAAGCTGCAGACTTGTCTGCAGTCGAATAGTTGATCAGTTATTAAAGCAGTTTTATGAAACAAAGCTGTCTGCATTGAAAGCGTGACTGTACTGGAGATTTTGAATGAAGAGGTGATTATGAAAATTACCTCAGTATTCTCAAGAATAGCATCCGTTGCACCTGCTTTTTTCAGATCAAGCAGATGAGTAAGATCCTGAGCTCTGGCATATATGGGAACCTTAAACAATTAAAGAATCAATGAAATTCACTTCAGTTTCAGAAGTTCTCGAAAAATTTTGTTCGAATATAAATTTCCTAGTGTATTCGCACAAAACGAATGTTAGAAGAGAGAGAATTGTAAATGACTACATATTTACCCAAATTATCTTTAAACACAAGCATATAAGCATTTTAAAAGAAGAGAATAAAAAAAATATAAAAAGGAAAATATCATCAATGATAAGAGAATATGTTTTAAATGATAGATATTCTTACCATAAATAAATAAGAAAATGATCTCTTGACTCTTTATGAAAGAACAAAATGACCCCCAACTATATTAAAGGATAATTTTGATCCCTCAACTCTTTAAAGAGGAATCAAAATAATCTCACAATGTGACTATTTTGGTTCATTTTAAGGAATTTGATGGACCAAAATGATCCTTTGATATAGTTCGAGATCATTTTAATCCTTCATAAAAAGTTAATGGACTATTTTGATCCTTTTCCCATAAAAAACTTCAGCGATGCAATAATTTAAATATGAAAACACTTCAAACCCCCCTCCATTTAAAAAAAAAAAAACACAAACTCAAAATGACATAAAATATGTCAACTTGAGTTTAAAAACAATAGCAACTAAGATAAAGTAGTTATAGATTTTCTTGCTCAGAGGTTGCTAGTGTCGTAAGAGAAGCACAATCAATCCATTAAAGAGAGTAAAGTGAATCATACACATAGTTGGCTACGAGATCCATGACAAAGAAGGCATGATAAGATCTTAAATAGAGATATCCATAGAGAATGATGATCAAGATATCAATGTATTAAGGATAAAACCACACTAACGCAGTTGATGCTAGAGAACAAAGGTAGATCATCGAGTTGTACAAATAAATGTGAAACAAAGGAGGAAACTACCTCGAAGGTTGATGTTGGAGATGAGAAATTCATACAGGGTCAAGCCGCTGGAGCGCAGACTAAGATAAGTGAGTGTGATAGTAGGCCAATAGAGATCAAATGTTTGAGAGATAGTGGGAAGATACTTAAAAAGAAATTACGATGATTTTAGCTGATGGATTTGATACCTTAGTTTAAGGAAGAATTGTACAATATTTTTACTTAATTGTCGTAGATACAAATATATGTGTGCATATGTATAAATAAGAGAATAAATCAATAAAAAAATGTAATAAAGGAGAATATCATCAATAATTAGGAAATTTAATAATGATAAATAGTCATATTCATACTATACATAACTTATGCCATTTGATAATTTAGATATGATATTAGCTTCCACCTATTTAATTTTTTTTCTTAGTGCATTAATGTATCTTACATTCAATAGAACCAAAAAGGAAAATGAAATTGCATGCATGAATCTTCACGTCCATAGTTTCTGCCAATGCAAACAAATCTATGTGGGGGTTTTTGCAAATGAAAGTCAATTGTGTTCTGGATTTGATAACTTAAAGCAACATAAATTTACAAATACATGGCAAAGGACAAAAACAATGCATGTTAGGAAATGTCTCAAGAATGAACATACAGCGGGAAATGCAAGGCGGATTCTTTGAACAGCCTTGAGGGTTATGGTCTTCTCTGTGTACATAACCATTACAGCTTTTGGAGAAGAAATACCCGCAGATTGCAAAACTGCTGGGCGAGATCCGTCACCATACAATATTGGAAAACCCAATCTTCGAGCCGCCTGATTGCCGAATTAATAGAGGAGGATAAACTGTTTGATTTGAATAATACAATATCGAGAATACATGGATAAGGAAAATCAGCTGCACAAATAAAATTCTCATACCTTCACCTCGCTAAGGTTGAGATCAAAAACAACATAAGGCCATCCAATGGTATTACTCTCACATCCAGAAGCCAGTGGCATGGATAAAAAGTTTGCAAGAACCTGTGCCACATAATAGTAAAAGCAATCAGAAAATGCTGAATTAGTAAGAAAGTTGACAAGTTCGAATATTTCGAGGATGAGCTGGGTGGGTAACTACAGCACCTGCGCCATCTGTCCAAATCCAAGAATTACAACCGGATCAGTTGCCTCAAAGTTCACTGGTTCTGTGTCCTTCTGCCAAATGAAAATGCATTGCTTATCCCAAATTAGAATTCAAAAAAAAAAAAAAGGTCAACTCTACCATCAACTTTGCAATTTTAGGGCGTGAATCACTTACTTCTTTTACTAGACGCTTTTGATCAATGATTTCAGCAGCCGTCCTTCCAATTTCATTGAGTAAAGGTGTTAATGCCATTGACAGTACAACTATAATGATGAGAAGTTTGTTCAATTCAAGTGGAAGCACTCCAAGCCTGTATAACGAGTTTTCTATAAGTAGTACTGAACTGAGCTAATAAAGTCTGATTGGCCTATCAGGCTGTAATCAACTGACCTGTTTGCCAAGGAGAATACCACAAATCCAAATTCACCGCCTTGAGATAGAAGCAATCCTATCCGAATGCTTTCTTGAAAAGTTAAACCAACACGTGGACCTATGGCAGTTATGATCAGCGTTTTGATAACTATTAAGCCTGTTAAGAGGGAAAGTACATTTGGCCATTCTCGGAGTAGAAGCTGCGTAGAACAAGCAAATTCATTATGAATCAGGAGTTTTTCATGAAATTATCTTTAGCTCAAAAAATACATCACACTTGCAAATCATAGAATGGCGGTTGGAAAACTAGCTATTTCTTGGTAATATTCTCTTCATTCAATATTGATGAAAACCGTCCCATATGGTTGAGAGATAATAGCTGATAAAGGTAAAGATTATTTTCCAAGTCAACATTAATTCTTCAGAACTGTATATGACGATTTTGGCTACCTCTAGAACCATCGACTATACATGTTTTTGCCATGTTCTTTCTCCTGTATGTGTTAGTACCTTGCTCAATATTATATTTCATCAATAACTTTCTATTGATCGAATTAAGCAAGATGTCACACCAATTAATTTTGAAGTTTCAGGTTCTAGAAACCCAGTCATCACAAACCAAAGGGATTGGTGAACAGAAGAACACTGATAGATTCATCAGTCATTATCCATATTCCATCATATCAATAATTTTAAAAATGACATATCACTAAGATGCACCCAGTATTTGAGGCTCCTATCAATGCAGAATCTCAGGAGAGTTCAATGTGTACATTCATTCTCCTATATTTTAATTGATCAAACCTTGCATGTTTTAAATCACAATGTGGTTCCTCAGAGGTCAGATCCACCCTCTAATGAAGACATCAGCATTGGAAATTAAGTAGCTATAAAGCTATTCATACTTTGACCACTGAAATAGTAGGCACTTATCAATGCAATAGAAATACCTGCATGTCAATGGATGTCCCTGTGGTTACAAAGAATAATCCAAGCAGTAACCCTCTGAAGGGTCTTATGTCAGCTTCAATTTGTGTTCTGAAGTTAGTTTCTGCGAGAAGAGCTCCAGCTAGAAATGCTCCTAGCTATGTTTGATAATGGATCAAAAAACAAGTCTAACAAAAATTTTCATAATGTTTTACAAAGCATGGATTGGGCTACATACCGTGTCACTGAAACCAAGTGCCTGTGTTAGGAGTGAAGTCCCAGCAACTGTAAGCAGGCAGAGAGCAACAAAAGCTTCAGAACTCCTTGACTCCGCAACCACCTGTATTAAAAATGAACTAAATCAGAAACAATTAAAGAATGCTTATTTTTGTAGATGTCTTACAAGTTTGATACAGACTTCAAAGATACGCCTGAGAAGAAATTTTCCTCCAAGGGATAGCAGACCGAGTCCACCTAATGCTTTCAAGCTTTCTGTTGCCAGCATCGGCCATATGCTTTCATTTCCAAGATTCTGTAATAGAAGCTCAAATTCAAGCAATATCCAAAAGAATAAAAAACACAATGTAGAGGAGCATGCACACAACATGCTTCATTAAGAGGCTGCGGGAAGGCATAGGACAAAACAAGGTAGCCTAGCATGATAACCATGAGGATCTTGAGGAATTGTTACCACAAACCCAATCGCCCACTTTGCATTCTTTTTATTCCATCCCAGTCCATTCCAGAATAGGTGGCACAGATGTAGATAATCTTTTATATCAAGCCAAACTAGTTAGCAAGGGCCAAACAATAAGGGGGTTGATTTAACAAGATCTAGCTCTATTGTTATTTTTTACAATTCCCAAAAAATTACTCTGTTTGCGTAGTATGATGACAAGAATATGATGAAATAAAGTCATATTGAGATTCCCTATAAAATGAGGCATGGAACAAAGCCATTATGATAAAATACCAGAATAAAAAAATTGTTGATCGAGCATGTTCGCCCAATTTTATTCAAGACATTTATCGAGAGGGATAGGATAGCATGAGAGTTGCAAACCTCAATGAGTTTTCACTTGAACCACACGCTAGTTTTGAACTTCGCGTGAAGGCGAGATGTAATCGAGAGGAGATAGACTCGACTAAAGGTTTGTCATTTTGAAGCCTAGCCCCCTTATCGGAAAAGTGTTGTTATCTAAATTATATTTGGACCAAGGGTCAAGGAGCAAGGAAGGTGAGGCACTTCTGACAATAATCTACTTTCTAAATTTGTGCACCAAGAATGAAAACGAATGCAAAGTTTTCTTCTTCAATTAATAATTAATGTGAGAGCAAAAGGATTTAACGCAACTCTATTTTGACATTGACCATTAAATATAAACACTGAAAAGTTCTATCTCCAACTAGGAGACTACTAAAACTATGGAGTCAAATTTTCCTCCTATCAGTACAAGATAATTCAAATATTCTGTTTATGGTAAATATTGCAAATGTGGTCAAATATATATTTTTATTCTCTATAAGATCTTTTGTTGACTTTAAGAGGTCTTGTAAAATTATGCAGGATCTTAAAATTAATTATGCTTTTTCAAACCCATGTCTTATTACCACTATAAATAGAGCCTCAAAAGGAGAGGTTTGATTTTCCATATAAGCAAGAGAATAAAATAAGAGAAAGAGATTGGAGATGATGTTCTCTTCATAGGCAAAGGGAAAAGAGGATTCAGATGGCTTATATTCAACATAGAAACAAAGAGTCTGATGTATGTCTTGCCCATAAAAAGGAAGAAGTGTGCAACCTTCTTCTTGGCTTTCTCCTCCTCCGCACCAATTTTTGTCGCCTACAGTGATAGGTTGTTTTTTGCGACATCCCTGAGTGTGAGTAGTGCTCACATTGTTAATGCCAGGACAAGGAGCGACTCTTGATAAGCTTATAGGCTTCCAGAAAAAAAAAAAAAAACAAAAAAAGAACCAAATTCCGCATTATAAGGGAAGAAAGAATATTGGGCTATAAAGTAAATAATCAGGCTATAATACACAAGGTGCCTTTTGGTGTCAAGAATGAATTTTCTTAGGAGCTCCACAATTAATTGTGCTTGGAATGGACTACTGGAGCATTCTAAGAATGATTGATCACCTAGAGGGTTACAAGAAAAAGAATATAATTGCGATGTTGGCCATGTATAGGATGGCCTAAGCAAAAGCAGGCAAGATCTTGCGTAGTTTAACCTAACATGTTCCAATTAATGAAGGAGTATGAGCTCCTCTAATATAATATGTGATTAGGAGACAAACCAAATGGAAGTTTGTAAGCTTATCACATCCCAAATCTAAAGAGAGTGGTCCAAAAAGGATAGGGAGTGATCATTAGAGCTAAAGCTCGAACAAGGAGCAATGCTTGTGTTAGACCGGTCCAGCCAGTCCACGCAGGACCGGCCTAGGCGCAACGAGGCGGAAGAGCCATTTAGGAAGGATTTTTTAGGGTTTTGGGAGGGAAATTTGAATGTAGGGATTGTTTAGGGATTTCCTTTTGATTTGTATGCATTAAATACTTTGTTTTCCTAGGGTTAGGGCATCCTGAATTTGGCTAAAATTTGAGATCTCTTAGATTTAGGTTTTCTTTGGGCTTTAGTGGGGACTAGAGATTTGGGAGAGATTGATCCTCCTCTTGAATAGAGGGTCAATTGTATCTTGCTATTTTCCGTTTTCCTTTCATCAAATAATACAAACTATTATTTTGTGCGGATTATTGTGGAGAAAGCTCGTTGTTTTTCGAAGATTGATAGAAAATACTTGAGATCTTCAAGTGTTTTCTATCAGCTTGGCAGGCTTCTAGAAGAAAAGGAGGGCTTTAATAAAACAAATTCCGCATTGAAAGGAAAGGATACTAGACTATATAAGTAAAGAGTTTGATCACAATACACAAGGCAATTTTTGGAATAATTTGATGATTTTTTAAGGACATAATGGAGCGTTCTCAAGATAGGCAATATAGAATTCACCCAAAAAATATTAAGATGTGAGGTTTATCATGATATGGAAAGACCTAGGCTAGGGCTGCAAATGAACTGAGATGACCCGAGCACGTGATTGTTCATGCTTTAGCTCATTTAAGATAAGTTTGTTCGAGCTCGACTAGAGCTTTTCTTTGTGTTCAAGCTTTGTTCATTTAAAATTATAGATATTTATGTTTGGTTTGCTTCATGCTTATTGAGCTTTAAACAAACGAGTCTTATTGAGCTATTAATGAACTTTATTTTCTAATTGTTTATTAGGTTAGCAAATGAGTCTAAAACAAATAATTATCTGAGATCCTGCTCGCAAACACATTTAGCGAGTATTTTCAAGAAACCAAACAAGCCCGCTTACGAACATATCTAGTGAGCATCTTCGAGCTACCAAAAGAGCCCGTTCACAAGCAAATAAGCTTTATAAATAAGTTTGTTATGAACACTTTAAACAAACATGAACAAATTCAATATAATGAAAGATTATAATATAAAAAATGAAATTAATTTTTTATAAAATAAGAATCATATATCATAATAAAACTAAAAATTATGTGAAAATATACTAAACAAAGATTTAAGCCAATTTTAAGAAATGTATTTAGTTCCAAACATTACTTATAATCAAGCTCGTCCATGATCTCTATATCAAACACGAAAAGAATTTCTTATCGAGTTTGTTCATGAGCTTTAACCATGTTGTTCATAAACATAAACGAGTGGAATAGATAACAGTTCAAGCTTGTTTATTTAATCATTGAGTATTGAAATTTAAGCTTGTCTTATTACTTAATCAAACGATCACAATCAAGCTATAATTGAGTCGAGCCTCAAGTAGCTCGTCGAATGCTTGGTTCATTTGCAGCCCTAACTTGGGCAATAGTGGATAATATCTCAAATAGTATGGCATCAGTTATGATAGTGTTCTCTCACTGTTTATAATCAATGTTTGGCATCAAAGGTAATAGGTGCATGTTACCCTCTTCGTTAAGTATAGCAAGTGGATTCATTTTCACCAAGTGGTATAAATCATCTCAACATAAGAAGATGAATCCTTAATGTACTCTTTTTGAAACTTAATGGAACTATTTGATCTTTGTGTGGTCATGATGAAAGTGCATCTCATCAAACTGTTTAAGTTTGTCTTGTGTTTGTGACCTCTATTGTGATTGTTAAGTCATCTTAGTTTTATTTCTTTATTTACATTTCATTACTATCCTAACAAGATTCTTTTCATATATTAACCACTTTAGCAACAAATTTGAGATCGAGACATCACTTCAAGTTATATCAATGTTTTGTAATGACTAATTTGACATTGATTAAAATTAGACAATGCATGCTCCAAGGTTTAAGATTTTCCTTGTCTGCTTGCTTGCTAACCACAAGAATGATAAACTTTCACAGCTCGTCAAATATCTTAGACGTCTCACCTGAATAGTTAAACAATCCAGAAATAGAATAGGTTTAAAGATAATGAAATAGAGCTCATAGCATCGTTTCCAAGTACATACTCAGCCAGGCAACCAATTACATCTTTATTTTTGTAGATATATTCCACACACAGCAATTTATTTTACACAATATGAATGTACAGAAATGCAAGGGAACTATTTACTTTTCTTTTAGATCAATTAGAACAATTATGTTGCAGGAATCCATTTGGTTACCTGACTCTCCAGAATAGGAAGTATGACTAGAAGAGGGACAACTGCTATATCCTGAAAAAGAAAATAGATGGTGTTAATTTTTATTCATCAAAAGTTCTAAATAAAGGAGGTTCATATGCAAAAGTTGGAACTGATGACAAGGAATCGAAGACTCAGCTCACACAGTAGGATCATAGTTATCCTCAACTAGATGGTACGGAATTAAATGTTTTGTTGAAAAAGTAAAGTGTCGCAAACAGTACTGACCTGAAGAAGAAGGATTCCGAGAGTTGCTGAACCAAATCTTGTTGGAAGCTCCCCTTTCTCTGCAAGAAGCTAGAAGCACAACTTGATGAAACGTGATAAATTAGTAGCACATTGAGCAAGTGAGCAACTTTGATAAACGGTAAAATTAGAATTTTAAAAAGGCAATAAACAAGGGACTGTGTAATGATTATCAGAGATTTCTCCAAAACAAACACATTGTTCATTGGAAGATCGATCAAAGAAAGGCTAGTTCATTGAGAAGAAAATTTTCTCTTTTTTTGTGCGTAAAACCTCAAAATTCTGCAATATTGAAGTTAAAATTGACTTAAAAAGTTGGAACGTATGATGACAATTTCTTGCAGTATTCCTCGTATCAATGTTTAAAATTGCGTATTCGGGTATTGAGGCGTTTTTCATTCGTGAGGTGAGGCGTAAGTCTCAACGCGTTTTGAGGCGTAAGCCTCAAAATCAAAAAATTGCGTAAACATAAAATGATAAATTTTTTAAATACTAATGAAAGAATAATATAAAACATAAAAAAGCATAAGATATGAAGTGAAATCAAAATATCTCAATAATAAGACAACATGAAATATAATTCAACTCTAAATTCTATCTTTCCCAAATCCCAATATTATTTTCATTAACATATAATTCAAATTTCTAAAAATAAATAGCAATGACATATCACATAAGAACTCATAAATCATCAGCACTGTCATCACTAAGGGGTTCTTCATTTGAATCATCATTATGATGAACTGCTCTCTCATCTTCCTCCTCTCCTATAGAGTCCAATGTCGGGCATTTACTTCAAGATTTATGTAAGTTTTAATATATATAGCGTGAGGCATAAGCCTCATGCCAGTGAGGCGAGGCGGGCCTTAAGGTGGGCCTCAACCAAGTTGAGGCGCAAGCCTCATAACAAAAACTCGAGGCGTAAGCATCGAGGCGTTTTTTACTGGAATTGCGCAAAGGCGGGCCTCAAGGCGAGCCTCATATTGCGCAATTTGAATATCAATAAACAATTGATAAAAATATTATAGTTTTTGATAAATTTATCAAAAAGTATCAAGTGATTGCTCCTGCTAAGGTAAAAATATTATAGTTTCCAGTTATCATATTGGGCAGAATTTAAAAATGAAACTCAAGAACAAAATATTCTATTTAGAAAGGAAAAGACATTGTTGTATAGTAAGATTATTAAGATATTTTTTAATTTTACTCATGGAACGCTTTTACGCACTCTAGAGCTTAGATATAAAGATATTATCCAGTTAATGATGTTTAAGGCATTCGTGTATTGACACCTTTTTTTTCTTCTACGGCATGAGAAATGTGAGCTACTATAGAAATTAAAATGGAATCACAAATTAACAAAAAGCCACTGAAGTCTGATAAAATTAACCGTCAAAAGGAGGTACTCTTAGAAACATAATTTTCAACACAAAAAAACTATTGCAACAGATAAAGCACAAAGAAGAGCTAGCTTTGATATACAACACATGCAGAAAGAACAAATGGAGCAAAAGAAGCACAATGTTACAGTAGACACAACACATGCAGCAAAAGAAGCACAATGTTACAGTAGACAACACATGCAGCAAAAGAAGCGCAATCATAACTAGTAATTAGCTTGTAAAACTTGAGTAGATAAGAATGCATACCTGTAGAACAAATGCGGATGATGACAAAGAAAGAGCAGCTCCAATAACAATAGCTTCATCAACACTTCTAATGTTCACCTGTATCAAAAAATTTCAACTACATGGGATTTATGGTGGTTAAGAATTTCACTACTATAAATTTCAGAAATATGAGCCCTCAACGAAATATAATTTCAAACCATCAGGATCACCCTTTATGAACTGTCAACAATTTCTTTAATAACTGAAAAAAGTAAGGACGAGAAAGTTTCATAGCTTTGTTTAGCTTAATGCAAGTTTCTGCGACAGCCATAGGTAAAATTAAGTTGGTAAAGGTGCGATGGTATTAGTTTAAATATACGTAGTTATAAATTTGAGGACATACATGAGTTAAAGTTTATTAGTAGCAAGTATACCATACAGAGGAACTTTCCAAGTTCAAGATAGCAAGCTCACCAGGTCAGGTCTTGAGTGAAAAAGAAATTCCAAAACCTTTGTTCCAAAAGCTCCATTTGGTGGAAGTTCAAATGCCGTAAAAGCAAGTGTAGACAACACAACCTTCAAAAAGGCAAAAGCAGGTAACATAAGTTTGCTACAAAATAAACCAGCTATAAGGTATTAATAACCATAAATACTGAGTGAGGATAAATGAGAGAGGGAGGTAGACTTGTAGCAAACGGTAATCTGCAATTTATTTTAGACTTGAGCTGAAAAAACTTCGTTACTTGCAATTAGTAATTGAATGGAAATTTTGCGATACAACTTATGAAGAACAATCGGTAATCTGATATAATATGTTGTAATAATTAGACGTAAGAACATGGCTGATACAAATAAATAGCATCTAGACAAAAGCAAGGAACTTTTGTCTGTTGATAACGCCCCTTCTCCATGCAAATGTTTCCAAGATATTAACAAGCCCCATCTAGCAGCATTCATAAACAAGAAAAGCCAAGAACGCTTTCTACACAAATTTCTGGCCTCTAAACAAGGCCAGAAACCTTGCAAATATCATTAAAAGGAAGAATAAAGGTGGAGGGACAGTAAGAGTAGCGTCACTTAATGGGAACTATAACTAGGTTATTAGCAAGCCCTAAATAAAGCGAAGAGTGGCAGGGATGGCAATAGGGTTGGGTAAACTTGATACCTGACTCTACCTAAGTCAACTTTACCATGCTTTTTTGGGTGAAACAAATAGGTTTAGGGTTTAGTATTTGCAAGGGACTTTTCTACCGGTTATAGATGAACCTGTTGAGTCTTTAGCTTTCTATTTTTTTATTTTTTATTTTTTTTTTAAAAGAAAAGAAGACTCACAAAAACCTAAAGCTCTGATACCAAAATGATGCAACAAAAAAACAAGATTGCAAAGGACTCAGGTCTTCCTTCTTAAAACATAAATATAACAATAAAGATTACAACTTAAAGACACTTTTCATTGACAAATGCTAGACTTGATACATTTACACAACTACTTTCTTAAAGCTTACAAAATTTTAGAGAAGAAGGATATAGATGGGGCAGGAACCGTGGAGAGAGAAGAAGGGGTAGAAGACCGAGACAAAATAATAGAGGAGAAGGGGAAAGGGGGCTAGCTTGCAAGCTAGAGAAAACCCACATGTTTACAATCCAAAAATCATTCAAACTCTTACTATCCTGCAGGAAAAAAACAACCTCTATATATAAGAAAATAAAGGAGAAGAGCAAATTAATACAGGAAATTTATGCACCTCCAAAACAGCCAATAAAAACTCCTAAAAAACAACAGCCAATGGGCATAGAAACAGAAGGGACAGCTGCCAAAGGGAAAAACAGAGGAAAATAAGGCCTACGAAGAGACAACCCAGCAGCCAATGAACATAAATTGAAAGGACAGAGCACCTTGATTGCATCAAATTTGTAGCAAAGCAGCTTTCTGATGTAAATAAAAAGAAGGCCGCGCAACTTGCTAAGGATATTGCAGCTGTGCAGGAGTTACTTGTGCATGTGAAAGTTGCTACATAATAGGCCAAACAGGATGAGTCCAAAATCCGTTCAGAAAAAGAGACCAACAGACAATCTTACAAGCTGGCCTTAGAAGATAATGAGGCCAAATTGGTCTCTTTAAAGAAAGATTTTAATACTGAACTTTATGAAGACCTAAAGAAGAAGCTGGAGGAGATTGAAGGGAGATTGAAGCTCAGATTGATGCAATTCAGAAGCAAATGAAACAGGCAAGGGCATCAGATATAGAATCTATTTCCACGGTGACTGCTGAGCTGGATGGTGCAAAAGAGTTTCTACAGAAGTGGTAGAGGAAACCTCTCTCAGGAGTGAGCTGGAGTCATTGAAGCTACAGCTAGAAATTTTGAAGAAGGAGAATTATGAACTTCAAGTTAAGGATGCAGAAACTAAAACCCTTGCTGCGAATCTTCATTTGAAGCTTCAAAAATGCAAGTCTGAACTTGATTCGACCATGTTTGCTGAGTCAAAGGCAAGCTCAACTTCTGATGACCTAACATCAGCCCTCCAGTAGCTGTCTGCAGAGTCCTCATCGGCGCAGAAATAAGCAGAAGAGATGAAGAGAAAGGCTGATGAACTGAGAAGTAAATAATCAGCCAAAAAGACTGCAAGAAGAAATTCAAACAATTATGGCCCAAAAGGTTTAATTGAAACATAGACTAAAAAAAGAGGCTGAGCAATTTCGGCAGTGCAAGGCGTCTCGAGAAAAGGAACTCCTGCAGTTACGGAAGGAAGGAAAGAGAAACAAGTATGAACGACATAAACTTCAAGCTATGAATAAGAGACAGAAAATGGTTCTTCAAGAAAGACAGAAGAGGGTGCCATGGCCACCACAAAGTTGAAAGAGTTTGAGGTCATCGTGAATATACATGAAGTTCGCATTGAGTATGAGAAGCAAAGCCAAATACGAACTGCTCTTGAAGAAGAGATTACTAAGTTCAAACAAAAAGCAATTTCTGAGGATCTTAGTCCTCAAAAAAGAAAAGAATGGACACTCTCGAGTATCAAATGTCACCAAATGCAAGATTATCAATGCTAGCATCACTTGATGACCTGGTGAGCATGTCACCAAATGCTCTAGTAGTAATGGTTTCTCAACTGTCAGAGGCCGAGGAAATTGTGATCAATGGGAGATGATAAGAATTTGCTTCAACACATGTTTAATTTTGCTGCAGATGCAAGATGCCAATCGAGGAACAAGGAAGTAGAGATGAAGCAGCTGAAGAAGGACAATTTCAATTGGGGGAAAGCAACAATGCAAAGCCTTCGAGCATCTGAAGAAAGCCATGACCAGTGTCCCATCCTTCTTGAGGACAAGGTGGCTCTTTGGAAATGGAGTATTGATAGACTAGCTAAGTCGGTGGGCCCCACTAGGGGGGCGGTGATAGGAAACACTTGTAGATATCAAGTATTTCCTGTCAATCTTCGGAAAGCCGCGATAATTCCCAAAAAAAATCCACACCAAACCACGAAAACAGTAGATAATATGTATTGTTTGATGAAAGTGAAATAGAAAATACCAAGATACAATTGATGCTCTTTTCGAGAGGAGGATATTTCTCTCCCAAATCTTTAGACGCAGCAAGAGCCCAAAAGAAAACCTAAATCTAGGAGATCTCACAAATTTCAGCCAAATTCAAGATGATATAATCCTAGGAAAACAAACTATTTAATGCATACAATCAAATAGAAAATACTAAACAGTCCCTACATTCAAATTTCCCTCCCAACTCCCAAAAAAAACCTTCCAAATCTGCTCAGCGGGCCTCTGTGGCTGGATCGATGTACAGGCGAGGCGGAGAAATCGCGCCTTTGTCCTCGTGAACCGGTCCCTATGGGACCGGCTGCATCGATCCAATGGACCGGTCTAGCAATACCCCCCTCCCAAAGATCCACCTTGTCCGCAAGGTGGAAAGATAACACATTCCTCCATTCCCTCGTCATCACAAACGATAAGAACCTGAAGAGTTTGATCCTTACACCTGTGCCCCAAAGTATACTTCTCGTCACATCTGAAACTTAGCTCCTTAGCCATCTTCTCCTGTAATTCTGTTTCCGTGAGCTTCTTGATGTTTTCCCTAGATCTTCCTCATGCAGTCTTTTCCTTTGATGTTCCCCAAAGAGTATCTAGTGTTGACTCCTTGGATGCCAATAAGATGGTGGTCATCCTGCACGAGACTACTGAGCTATTGTCTCTAGTTTTTCTCTCCAGGTGCCTCTGATCCTCCACCAACTGAGCTAGTTCCATAGTTTCTCCTAAGTCACGAGGCCTTATTACTCTAATCGCTGCCCAAATCTCTGGTGTCGGTCCCTTCATGAAATTTTCCTCTAGCACTGTTTCAGGAAGGCGGTCCAATCAGCTAGCAAGGTACTCGAATCTCTCGCGGTACTTAGTCACTGAACCCTCCCGTATCAAGGCGAAGAACCGCTTGCAGAAGTCTCCTCCCCTGCCAGTTCGAAAACGTTCTACCAAATAATTCTTGAACTCTCTCCAACTCATTATGTGTCGTCGTATGTCCCTCCACTAATACCAAGAAAAAAACTTCCCTTCCAAAAAAAGGCATGCCGCCGTCAGTCTCTCTTCCTTTGTCAATCCATTGACGGCAATATATCTTTCTACTTTATAGATCCACCCGTACGCATCCTCCCCCTCAAAGATTGACATCTTCAATTTCCTCACCGTTGGGTCACACCCGTTTCCACGAAATCCTCCATAATCTCCCATTCCTCGAAGAGGAGATGCTCTCCAATTATCGCAATCTTCCCTCCGGTGATAATACCCAAACTATTCATTCCCTCTTCTTCTTTCAAAATCAGCATCCTGACGATCGAAATCATCCCCTCGCCATACAAATTCATCACCTCTTCTTGCGTAGCTAATGCTCATCTCCTCCCTAGAAAGTGGTTCTAGAGGAGGCATTCCATCATCTCCCTCCAGGATTTCCACTTCTGAATTTTCCCTTCCCCTAAACGTGTTAGGGTTCCCATCTCCTCCATGGCCTCCAATAGTTTCCTATGCTTCCGATGTCACCGATTTGGTTTTGGCTACAAGCAATTTCTTCAACATGTCTTCCACCACGGTGAACTTTTCCTCCATCCTTTCATTGACGGATGTAATTAGATTTTGAAAATCAGCAATCTTCTCCTTAAAATCTGCTTTGAGTTGCCAAAGTTCTCTCTCCAAAACTTTCACTTTCCTTCCGGTCATTGGTTCCCCTTCGATCGACGTGCTCTGATACCAATTTGATAGGAAACACTTGTAGATCTCAAGTACTACATGCCAATCTTCGGAAAACAACGAGAATTCTCCACAAAAATCCACACCAAATCACCAAAACAGTAGATAATATGTATTATTTGATGAAAGGGAAATGAAAAATACTAAGATACAATTGATCCTCTATTCGAGAGGAGGATCTTTCTCTCTTAAATCTTTAGATGCCACTAGAGCCCAAAAGAAAACCTAAATCTAGGAGATCTCAAATTTCAGCCAAATTCAAGATGTCATAATCCTAGGAAAACAAACTATTTAATGCATAAAATCAAAAAGGAAATCTCTAAACAGTCCCTACATTCAAATTTCCCTCCCAACTACCTCAAAAAACCTTCCAAATCTACTCAACGGGCTTCTGCTGCTGGATCGGCTTACAAGCGAGACAGAGAAATCGCGCCTCTGTCCGCGTGAACCGGCCCCAATGGGACCGGCTGGACCGGTCTAATAGGCGGCAGGAAAGAAGATAAAAAAGGAGTAATTACTTACCATAGAAGATCAAGCTTGGGAGGGAATTAAGAATATTTGATTAGGGAAAGAGGGTTGATTTGATTGAGAGAAAATTAAGAAGGTTTGTTTAGGGAAAGATGGTTGATTTGATTGGGAGTGAATTAGGAAGATTCTAAATATGGTTATTGTATGTTATGAAGGATTTAATTATGGAGATTTTAATTAGGAAGGTTTCCAAAATAATGTTTATGTTATTTAAGAAGATCATAATTATTTAGGATAGTTTTCTAAAATATGTTTATGCTGATGTTCTATTTGTGTTATAGTATTTAGGCTATTTAAGGGGGAGTTTGTCTAGGGTTTAAGATATGCTATTGATGAGTTGTGTGAGAATTTATTGTCCACTATTTTTGTGAGGGATTCTAACAGCATCAAGATTTTGGGAGAGAAGGCCCTCCTCTCGAAAGAGGACCATTGTACCTGGCTTCTTCGTATTTCTTTTCTTATCATAAAAATTTGTTGATTTGCTGAAATTTACTATTTGTTCGCTAATTTTTTGTGGTCAAGTCCTATCACTTCTCTCTTTTAACCAGCCAAACATAATCTTAAAATTTATATCCTCATCTACATCATTATTCTTTAGCATAACAGATCCAAAAAACATGAATCTATCACGCCTTTGTATCACAACATCTTCTAATAATATTGAATGATTTGATAACATCACACCAATAAAATTAAATATCATAGACCCAATTTTTGTTCAACTATTTCTAAGTCATCATCTTCTAAATTGTTCCCACATTATTCTAACTTTCCACTCTTTTCACCAAATGAAACTCATTGACTAAAACTATCATTTAAAAAAAGCATACACCATGGCATTTCTCTTTGAATATCCTTTGTAACAATTTCATTACAGAGACAAATACATATAGGAATAATGTTGGTCATTGATATAATCCTCAATTTTAATTAAAAACTTTGTTGCCACTCCATAACTATTTCTATTACTCAATGCTTTATTATAGATATTTTTAATAACTTTAATATACTTTTAACATATTTCATTTTCCCTTAATGCGCAACAAATTAATTCTCATGATACTTGATCATGTCTTCTCCAAGATTAATAAAAATCTATGAATATCTTTTCTCTACTCTCTATACTTTTTCATTAATTATTCTCGCACAAAATTATTTCAATAGATCTTCTTGGAATGAACTAAATTGATTATCCAAAACCCACTTAATTCTTCTAAGTCTATGTTCTTTTAACCTCTTCCATAGATTCATTGCACGGCTTATAAGTTAGATTTCACTATAATTAGGACAATCTTAAATATCTCGTTTAAATATTGGTATCAAAATAAGTTTGCCTCTAATCATTTGACATCCTAACAATCTTCAAAATTCATATATTAATATCAAATCTAAATCCATCATAATTTTGTCAGAAATTTATCTCAATATTATCATTTAAAAAAAAAGTAATTTTTTTTGCCTATATTACAATATATGTAATATGGATAAAAGGAATGTGCCTAGGCCTATCAAATAGAAAACTTTTTTTCACTAGATTTTGGATCATAAAAACATCAAAATGATATTGTAAATAAAAAAAAACAAGTATTGATCGAACATTCGGCCAATTTAGCCTAGATAAGACTAGTTTTATAAGAAATTCATAAGCAGACAAACTAGACAACGAAATAGCTAACTTGAACAAGTCTCAAGTATTTCTAGATCCCTCATCAATTTAGGCCATTTTTTTAAAATTTTAAATATAATAAGCATAAGGATGATATCATCCTTAAATTAGGGTTTACTTCTCTTTTAAAATAGGAATAATTATACAGGCTTCAAGGTTATTCATTGAAGAATAAATTACTTGATGAAGCCATTGATGGTTGATTGATTCTTCCTCCATTGCTATACGTTATGTACACTGATTGCACCAAATTTCATATGTGGAATTCTTGTTCCTTTCAAGATATCTTATGTTTAATTTTGCACTTGTTTCTTTCCTTAAGAATTGCCAAGCCCCATTTCTCTCCCCATAAACTCTATAAAGGCCTCAAAACCTAGCTTCCTTTGTCTGATTGAAAGGGAAGAAGAATTTAATAAACCCTCCACCAATCTCAGCATTAGAGCATAATCATCTCTCGATCAGATACAAGCGCGTGTTGTTGCACAAATCGTGATATAGTGTTTTGCACATTTTTAAATTCACCTCAACCCAACTTTCAACACATTGTTCCATGCATCACCTCACATGCTTTATAATAAGCCGTGTAACACATTTTTGAAGCACTACTCAGCATGCTTTATGGTGTGCAATTTAAAATGCTTCTTCATGCACTATTTTGTACATTTTTATCCGCGAGTTCCCTAATGTCCACACCTTTGTTGGCAACAAGTTTTCCACAAAATTCATGCAATATGAATTTTTTTCAATATTTGCATATTTTATAAAACATTTTTTTGTTCCTATACTTATATTCATATTTACATTTTATCAGGCATTTTGTGTCCATGTCATCACCATTTTTTCTTCAAAAATTTTAGTACATTTTGATAATGCTTCTATAAGGATTGCAATATATATATATATATATAATCATATTTCCACATTTAATTAGGAATTTTTATTGTAAACTTTTGTTCCCGTTCATATTTTACCGAGCAATTTGCGATCACACTCTCCTCATTTTTTTATCTGAAATTCAAGTAAATTTTTATAGCCCTTCAATCCCATCCCCACCCTCCAATGAGGGGGTAGCACAAGTGTGTCATCCTGCTACGCCAATGAAAGCATTTAGAGTATGGTGAATGGGGCAATGAAATCCATCTCATCACACCATAAAAAGATGTTTAGGGGTATTATAGGATGCCTTGTGCACAAAATCACCTAAAATGTACACAAAAATGCCCCAATTGTGCCAAAAGTTCCTCTCTCATCTCTTAATTGTTGTGGTGAGGTGTTCAATAGCGAGCGGGGGATGGAGAGGTAGGCATAGAGCATAAGATAAGCTAAAAAAATTAATTGACACAAGTTTTTAGGAGTTGTGTGGGAAATTCAGTATGGAAGAAGAGAAATAGAGGAGAGAAATGTATGCTTTTATAAAACCATATTTTCAATTTAGGGGACTGGGAGACTATCCCCATTAATCATATGTACCCAGCCACCTTGTCAGCACTTGCAGGCAACCATAATATATATATATATATATATACACACACACACACAACAACAACAACAACAACAACATCAAGCCTTTATCCCACTACGTGGGGTCGGCTACATGAATTCTTTTTCTCCATTTTGTCCTATACACACACACACATATATGTGTGTGTGTGTATGGGCGAAATCTCCCTGAAATTTCCTCTAGCATATGTAGATTGTCTCCTGATGTCAAAAGTTGAGCAAGACATAAGGCGTTTTTAGACTTTTTTGAAATTACGAACGCATTGAGATGATCTAGTTCATGAAATGAGCAAATTCCACATTCTTTAAATGTAAATTGGGCACTTTGAGCTAATTTATAGTAAAATTATGTTTGTTTGACCATATTTTTGTTGCATTCGCTTGGATTGACTGGTGAATTACATATGGAGATCAACATGATTATAATTCATGTTTGAAGTGGATTGGCCTCAAATTACAAATTGAGTGATGATTCTAACATTCAATCACCATCAGTTCTTGAGCAGTGTAGGACCTACCCAAAGGTCAGGTAACAAACATATCAAATCAATTTTTGAGTTGTGCCTGAAACTGAAATTATATAATGCACATATAATGGTACATATACAAGATTATAATTTAAAGAACCTATCAAATCTAGAACTTCGTCATATTTTTAAGTATACAAAAGAACGTACATAGAAACTTCTTCCAGTTTGGTTGCTCATATTTCCCTAATACTATAGAATAAGTGGCTAGTTATGTCACTCGGTAAGCAATTTGTATTTTAATTTAGTTTTATATGTATCTTTTTGTTTAGATCATTTTAAAAGCAGCATTTGATTGGGCTTGGACTTGACTCATAAAAAAGTTAAGATGATATCCGATTCAATTATAGTTGGGCTTAACTTTAAGGTATTGCTTGACCCAATCCATTGTAAGACAACTAATTAGTCTGGACTGCTGCCCCCCAAGACTTTAAAAGTACAAAATTTAAATTCAAGAAGAGGATTATCCAAATCTATTTCTGTGTGCCATCAAATTCTGTAATAACAAATAAAGCATATGCTCTGACTAATTGCTGGCGTCCATTTTTGGAGGCATGGCACATTTTAAGGGAAGAATAGAGAAAGCGCTAAAAATTATTCAAGTAAAACCTGAATGGAAGTATTGTGTTGTGTTGTTTCGTACAAAATAAAAGCACCACAACCATCAATGACATGAATAAACTGTTATGCAATTTTACTGTCTCCGAACTGAAGTCATGATGAAGGTGCATGTGCAGCATGGCACTTTCCCTAGCACATTTACCGCACAAATCTAAATTGTCATATGGCAAGCTTTTGAAAAGCTTAAGCCTGATGATAAAGTCGGCTTTAATTTTTATAAATCAAATGTGATGCCACGCAACTTTCACATGGTAATTTACAATCTTAAACATACTTTGCCATTTTATGAGAAAGGTAGTCTTCAAGAAAATGTATGTACTATAAAAATAAATGGTAGTTAAAAAGTATGCATAAACATCAGACCTGGGTCAATCCCATCCCAAAAGCATATTTTGCTAAAGCTTTTAAGCGTGCCAGTGAAAGCTCTAACCCCATCTCAAAAAGCTGCAAGCAAAAAAATGTTAAGATTATATACTAATTTACATAAATACTCTAGTTGATTGTTCAGCAAGAATGAAAAAGAAAAGCCTAACCAAGTTAGGTGCAACAAAATAATATAACCGATTATGTCCTACCCTAATACTTTTGCTGCATCAGTCCTCTTATTTATATTCTTAATTACTCGGGGAAAGTTTAATTACGTAATCTTAATTGCAGAAAAGCAATGCAATGCAAATAGGGAATAGAGGGGTTAAATAGGATGAGTTCTAGCTTCAGTATTTGCTACAGGACTTGAACCTACTATCTTCGTCACCACCTACAACTTTCCACAAGTCTGGTTTTTTTAAGAGGAGAAAGAAAAACAATTAGAAGATAGTGATTTTCAGATTGACTTCTCTGCAAGAAAATAAGTCTTTAAACAATTAAAATATAACAAGAATAAGATCTTATCCATTCTTCAACAAATCAAAAAAGAAAAGAAAACTTTATCACTAATCAAAAACTGGATAAGCTCTAATTTTAAAAATAGTTCCAATTAAAATATATCCTAATTTGAATTATAATTCAAATAAAAGCATATCCAAGTTTAAAATTTTAAACTCATCTTTATCTTGTTGCAATCTAAAATTTGACAATAGTCTAGCTTCAAGAGCCTTGATCACCTTCATGCTTATGAATCCTAACATTATTTTTTATCCGAACTATGCAAACCAGGGCGTATATTTCCATGAAAATTTTGAACCATTAAAAATTTAATAAACACTATATCTTTAATATTTTAAAGATTTAATGCCCTAATCTCAATCAAGGGTGATTTGATTAATAGTCTATTATATTTGATCCACATATCAAAAATACCCTTCAATTAGGGCATGTTGCCCAGCATGGATGTTGGAGATGAAATGTCACTTTCATCATCAAGCAGCTCACCAAAAGTACTAAACTACACTCCACCCTTAATCATATAAAATCCTAAACTACAAAACCCTAAATCTTAACCCAAAATCCAAAATAAAACCCAATACCATATATATATAATATTTAAATGATGAAATATATTAGATCCCTCGACGCATGTCAAACAAAGTCCGATTTGGATGCGGATTGGCTTGTTAGAACGGTTTCGAATTTTCGGACACACTCGTGTAGTCCATTTCAAGAGATGACGCCCTGATAATGGACAAAAATTTTATATAAATGAAACATCACACACAATGAATTGCATGAAAACATTTATGAATCATCGTCACTCTCGCCGCATGCATCCCTGAACACGATGACAAACACGAGATGACTATCATCTTTTTATATAATAATAGTTCATTCCCCACATAATTAGCTCTTTGTCATTATCTTCAAATGAAAAGTTAAATTTATTGATGTTGATCTAAAAAAATAAAAAATCTACTGATCTAATTCCATCAATTTTTATAAAGATATTTGCTGATCTAATTAGACGCAGAATAGATAATTTTTAATGTCCTCACAAAAATTACTCATTTTTATTTAATTTTTTGATGTAAGGGAGAGAGTTGGGCTTTTAAGAGGAGAGGATTCTAAGAAAGAGAGGCTTCTACTAGAGAGATATAAGAGAGAGGAATGCTAAGAAAAAAAAAAGATAGGCTTCGAAAAGGGAGAGAGAGAAGTTTCTAAGAGAGATATAGAGAGACTTTAAAGAGAGAGAGAGATAAGAGAGTATAACTTTTATGAGAGAGAGAGAGAGAGAGAGAGAGAGAGAGAGACTTCTCTAAGAGAGAGGGAGGCCACTAAGAGAGGGAGACAACTTCTTGTGAGATAGAGACTTCTAAGTGAGAGGGAGAGGCCTCTCTAAATTGATTATCAAGATATTGTAAAGACCAATAAAAATATAGTGTTCTTTCTATCAAAATGGAAAAATCATTTTTATTATTATTTTTTTTTCATTAAACTGCAACTATAATGGATCTTCTAGAATAAACAAAAATATCAGCATGATTTTTCAAATTTTATGTTCAACCTTTTCGACAACTTTATTGTATTATTCATAAGTTTAGTTACTTTATATTTATCATAAGCTTGAACATAATGATCATTCTTGAATTTTATTATTAAAATGCATTTTCTTTCATTATTTGACATTTTGTTAATTTTCAAAATCATATTGAAAATATTTATTAATTATCCAAAGTTTTACCTTCATTCATTTTCATCAAATCAGCGGTGGCCCGCGTCCGCTGCCTAAGCGTGAAGTCAAGTGGAATTGAAAAGAAATTCTAAATCATATACATTTTTATTTGATAATCTTTTGATTAATTTACATAAGATATTTATGTACTTTGGTAATGATGAAGAAAGAGAGTGAGAAAAAGAAGCACAAGCTTTCAGGTGAAACTTCTTAAAAATATGAATAAAAAGTAGAGAGAGAGAGAGAGATCATTCTCGGTTCCCTATGCCGCCCAAGCTTCTCAGCCTTCTGAAATTTGAACCATTCTTCCATGTATTAATCCTGATGATGTGCAAATGTGCATTAAAAAAAAAATGAAATAAATGAACAACTAAGCTATAGCCTATATGCACAAGCCTTTTGAAAACACACGCGCCCATTTTTTAATCAAATGAGTCTACAGGTCGGGTCGGGTCGGGTCAACTCGGCAACCTGAGCAGGTCAGGTCCGGGTTGAAAAAGCTCCCTTTTGAAAACACACGCGCCCATTTTTTAATCAAATGAGTCCACAGGTCCGGTCGGGTCGGGTCAGCTCGGCAACCTGAGCAGGTCGGGTCCGGGTTGAAAAAGCTCCCGTTTGTAAAAACGGGCCAGGTTCAGGTTGACCAGTTTAGACTCGAGTCAACTCGGGTTTGACCTGAACCCGATCCGTCGACCCGTTTTGACACCCTTAATCATGCCCTCTCCACCTCACTCTCCCCCTCTCAAACCATCATTCTCCTCCATTCTCTTTCTCTCTATTAAAAAATACAGAGAGAGGAAGTAGACATCTCTCTCCCTACCTCACTAACTCTCTCTACACCAATATCCATATATCTCTCTCCTCTCCTCTCTCTTTTTTTCTCTAAAATCAGAGAAAGAAAGTCATTCTCTCTCTCTCTCTCTCTAAATAGAGAAAGAAATACCTCTCTAACTCTCTCTCTCCACTCCTCTCTCACACTACCACTCTCTCTTTATCTATAGAGAGAGAAAATAAATTTCACTCTCTTTCTAAATCCTCCCTCCATCTCTCTGTCTCTAAAAGGAGAGAAGAAGCTACACCCTAAAAGAGAAGAAAAGCAAAAAAAAAAAAGTAAAATAAAAAAATTCATGCGTAGCATCGCCTTGTTGTCTCGCCGATATCGTCCTCTCCACCGCACACCAAAAGGTATAATGTTTGTGACCCCTTGTAACTCTAAAATTCCGAATGCGATGCATTTGGCACGACGAGTGGAGCCCGTGCATGCTTTTCTTAGTTGGTGGGAGTAACTTGTAAAAGACGCTCGCGATGTAACGGGTGAGTCTCGTGTTCATTTTTCTTAGCACGGTAAGATAAATTTAAATACCTATATGTGTCTTTCTTGATGTGGCGGGTAAAAACTATGTATTGCAAACAAATACTTGAAGACCCATATACTGGGCTAGTTGGATTAAAGACTACTGTCGCAATATCTAACAACATTGATCATGCGCATCTTGTTTAGCGAGGAAGACATCGAGATGGTACCGAAATTTATACTGACAGGAGACCCAAGCAGACGTTAAAATAACCTTGTGAACACAAATTGGATTATATATCATTATTTAAAATTATGAAATGTGACATGTGCCCCAGTGTAATTCTAGCGAAAGACATCTCAAGGCGTTAGCCTTGAGCTTTTTTTGTGATGTATATGCCTCACCCTATTTATATATACATTTTATTTTAAAGTCACCCTAGATCCTAAACTAAAGCCCCGGACAAATCACGTTTTCACGCACCCGAGCCATAGCAACTTCTTATCAATTGTGCCTCGCCCTCCCGCTCGTTGCAGCCTCCGTAGTTATCATCGTCGTAGCATACTATTTCAGCATGTGAGGCATTGGACTCCACATGTGATGAGACAGCAGAAAAAGCAATTCGTTATGACGATGACTCAAATGAAAACTCTCTCAGTAATGACAATGCAAATGACTTCTAAGTTGTTATACTATTTCAGCTTTCTTTATGAAATTAAATGTGGATTAATAAAGAACTGAGAAAGAAGAAATTTGTAGCTGAACATGATGTTATTTGATATTTTTATACAATTTCTATATTTAATGTTGTTTTACCCTTATGATGTTTATATTTTAATTCTATTTTACGTAATTTTATTTCTTGTGCAATTTATATTTCATATGTATCCTAATTTGTTACTTTATCGTTCAATAGAAAGTTAATATGTCAACTTTTAACATATTATTTGGCTAATATAATATAATATAATATATGTTAAGATTTAAAAATTAAAATAATCAAAATTAGACATAAGTTGCAAAAATGAGAGCAAGACTGAATTAAAACTGGACTTATAAAGGACTTACAACAAATTTGATAACTTGCCAACGAGCATAAACCAGGAATTCCCCTTAACTTCTAGAACACTCGCACATACACAAAGTCCTTAAGAACACACAAGGTGAAATAAACTCTGATGAAAAACAAACCAAATGGGTCTTCCTATTTATAACCTGAAAATTAATTATTTTTAGGGCCCACCAAACTAAAATCCAATTACATAAAAATAGAGAAGGTACACATGTAAAAAATGTCAAAATGTCATTTTGTGGTTCTTGCATCTGGATCGTCGATACATGTTCAAACGAATAAAAATGCAAGCAATAATGTGTTGAAATATAAGCAATAGTTAACCTAAAATGTAAAATAACGAGTATTATCCCACGACAACATATTCACGTGAACGACTACCACCTCGGACCCTTACATATCTCCAATAGTTGTTTCACGTACGGGTGTTAAGACAAGTTGACGAGTCAGATTTCGATCCAACCAGATTCTC